GGATTTCCTAAACAAGGAGATCTATAAACAGTTATAATAGCAATATTGCCAATTGTTGCCCCACAAAATTCAGCATGGAATGGAACACAAACATTCTTTAAATCCAAGGGTTTAATTTGCTGATTCATTCGTGCAAATATAGCAACACCACCATGTAATCTTGGAGGGCGACAGTAAAAGGATATAAGAGAATATTGGTTTAGGTTTACCATTGCCAAATGATCATCACTAAGCCAATGTTCAGAAATGCATAATACATCTACAGGATTATCATTTAACCACAAATTGAGATCATCAATCTTGCTTGGCAAGCCCTGTACATTGATGTGAAGGGTTCGTAGGCATTGGGCGTTGTTGACCCGCTGAGGTGTTTGATCTCCTTCTAGAGCGAAAAAACCGGTTGATTATTACCCCATCCGGCCATATGTCGCTCTTTAGTATATTGTCCGCTTCGGTAGCTAATAATGTCACCAATAATCATAATTATAATAATAATAGTAATAATTACAATAATTATAATAATAATAATAATAATAACTATAATAATAATAATAATAATAATCATAATTATAATAATAATAATAATAATAATAATAATAATAATAATCATAATAATAATAACTATAATAATAGTAATAATAATAATAATAATAATAATAATAATAATAATAAAAATAATTATAATAATAATAATAATAATTACAATAATTATAATAATAATAATAATTATAATAATAATAATAATAATTATTATTATTATTATAATAGTAATAATTACAATAATGAACGCATACCATGTGTGTCTTCTGTAAAATTCTTAGGCCTAACACTCGACAGTAAACTGACATGGAGAGAACACATTGAGGATCTTACCAACAGGTGCAAGAGAGCCCTAAACCTAATAAAATGCCTGTCGTCAACACGATTCGGAGCAGAAGCTGAGATGCTGTTGCGGATATACAAGAGCATCATTCTATCTAAGCTTGACTACGGTAGCATTGTTTACTCATCTGCAAGACCGTCACTGCTTAAAAAACTTGATACAGTTCACAACCAAGGATTACGTCTCTGCCTTGGAGCATTTCGTACAACTCCAGCAGCTAGCCTCTATTGCGAATCCGGAGTTGAACCTCTATCCATTAGACGTAAAAAACTTGCACTATCGTATTCTGCACAGATTCAAACACGACCATTCCATAGAAACTTTTCTATCATTTTCAGTACGGATGAGAGCTACATCTGTCGCCCCACAATAACAAGACCTCTCAGAGTCCGAGTTAAAGAATATGCCGAGGAAATTGGTATATCATGTAACCCTATCTATAATGTTAAACACAGAGAATCTCCTCCATGGCTGTCACCCAAAATAAATGTGAATCTCGAGCTGACTGCACTATCTAAGAATGACCATCCATCTGAACTCATAAAATCACGTTTTATGGAAATCGTTTCTAGATATCCGGCAGCAACAGTTATCTATACAGATGGATCGCGAACTGACAGTGGTGTCGGCTGTGCTATAGTAGTCGATCAAACTGCACATCAATGGACACTATCACCAATAGCATCCATATTTACTGCTGAACAATATGCTATTTGGCAGGCCCTACGATACTGTGACATGTCGAATAACATAACAACAGCTATTATAGCTAGTGACTCGCTCTCAGCACTTCAAGGCCTAATGAACTATGCATCTCGAGATTCCTTAACTGTGATGTGTCTTGAAACTGTCAAACATCTCTTAAATAAAGGGGTAAACGTAAAATTCTGTGGTTGCCAGGACACGTTGGTATACAGGGGAATGAAGCTGCTGATATGGCAGCGAAAGCAGCAGCAGCGCAACAAAACATCGACATCCCCGAAATAAAAATGTCTGATCATAAAAAGTACCTCATAAACCGTATACAGCGACACTGGCAAATTACATGGGGTAACACTGATACCCACTTAAGACAGATAAAACCTAGTGTAGGATTATGGCCACATCCTATCAGACTGCCACGAGAGGAATGGGTGCGCATACATCGCTTACGCTTTGGCCACACACGTCTTACACATGCACATCTTTTGCTCGGAACAGATCCGCCCTTGTGCACTGGATGTAACTCTTCACTCACTGTACGCCACATTATCTGCACATGTCCGATATTGTCGCAATATCGAGTGATCTATGGACCATTTGATAACCTGACAGAGAGTCTCACACAACCAGAAAAAACTGAAAAACGTCATATCATTCTTAAAAGTATCTGGTTTCTATTGGAAGATCTGACCTAATGAACTTTTTGGAAATGAACCATTTTAATTTTTGTGTATCTTATTCTCAACTGAGATTAAATGAATGTTATGTAACGATGATTTTGCATCATACCTACCTTAGGTTAGTATTGTCATCTTGAACTAAAAGAAACATGCAACAATAGAATTTGGATAAATCGAAAAACTTACGTGAACGCAAACAAGATCGTGAAATGCAGATAATGACCACAAAAAAAAAATTAATATTAATGAATATATGCCTGACAAATTTAGTCGTGTAACATTTTCCAGAAATTATCTTTTGTCGCTAATAGAATCTGAAAGTAAATGACAATAGTATATCCTTTTCGATTAATATCTGGAATTTGCGTAGTTAGTTTTTTTAAAAATGCGACACTTACCACTTAGAAATGTAAGAGATTATATATTTTATACTTTAGATTTATATATTATATTTATATATTATTGAATACGGCTAATAACCAGAGAAGTTGGACGCCGTCAAAAAAAAAAAAAAAAAAAAAATATTATAATAATAATAATCATAATTATAATAATAATAATGATTATTATTATAGTAATAATTACAATAATTATAATAATAATAATAATCATAATTATAATAATACTAATCATATAATAATAATATAATAATACATAATTATATAATAATATATAATAATTATAATAATAATAATTATATAATAATAAAATAATATATATATAAATAATAATAATAATATATATATATAATTAATATATATAATATAATAATATAATTATAATACTAATAATAAATAATAATTATAATATAATAATAATATATACAATAATAATATAATAATTATAAATATAATAATATAATAATAATATATATAATAATAATTAAATATATATATAATAATATATAATAATAA